AGCTGTTCACACACCTGTGTGGGTAGCAGCTGTTCACACACCTGTGTGGGTAGCATCTATTCACACACCTGTGTGTGTTTGAACTGTTCACACACCTGTGTGGGTAGCATCTATTCACACACCTGTGTGGGTAGCAGCTGTTCACACACCTGTGTGGGTAGCAGCTGTTCACACACCTGTGTGGGTAGCAGCTGTTCACACACCTGTGTGGGTAGCATCTATTCACACACCTGTGTGTGTTTGAACTGTTCACACACCTGTGTGTGTTTGAGCTGTTCACACACCTGTGTGTGTTTGAACTGTTCACACACCTGTGTGTGTATGAACTGTTCACACACCTGTGTTTGTTTGAGCTGTTCACACACCTGTGTGGGTAGCAGCTGTTCACACACCTGTGTGTGTTTGAACTGTTCACACACCTGTGTTTGTTTGAGCGGTTCACACACCTGTGTGTGTTTATAATCATCACATGGGGGTGCAGGTGTCCAGTCAGGGCCACGTGTGATTGGACGTTTTTATCCTCCTCTTGAGGCCTTTGATGAACCACAGCTAAGAAGCTTGAGGTCGTCATCGAACATTTTCAGTATTTTGTCTCTGTTGAACTGAAGCGTTCTGATGCAGCCGTCAACAATGAACTCTTGTAACTCGTAGAATATTACATTTCAAATCATCATCATCATCCAGAGGAAGTTCAGTGTGATAAAGTTCAAGCACATCCCTCCATCACTGATCCCAGAGCAGCTCTGCTCCTAATGTTACGGTGCTGGAACACACCTGGAACGACTGCCTGATCAAACTGGATCAGATTTAGGATTTGAACCTGCAACTCTCGTGCTTTAATCTTCAACGAGTTGGGTCAAGACGACTAACTTCTTTAGTTTCTCTCTGGAGGGTACAAGTCAACCAGACTGTCTGGTTTGTTAAAGCGATCTTGTTCTTTTAATATATTTAATAGTTATAAAACATTTTGTATATATCAGTGCTGATCCATACACGTGCACATATTTATGCACATTCATACGTTTATTCATACGTGCACATTTGTATAAAGACACAAGTATTTGCACCAGTAAAGTTGTGAAGGACGTAACCGTCCACACACGATGAAGCTTCATGTCTGAGGCCGGAGGAGCTTTTTCTCTTCGATCAGCAGGACGGACGTAAACTTTTATCTGTTCATTGTTTCTTCACTTTTCTTTGAATGTTTCTCCGTCGTGCGTCCGGTCGTCACCACAGAACGTTTTCTGGAGCTATGCACGCTGCGTTCCCGAGCAGGTCGGGCAAAAACAAAAGAAACGGAAATCTTTGTCTTCCACGGTTGATTTGGTTGAGGAGAAAAATGTCGGCAGCTTCTGAACAAACGCTGCACATTTAGAACGAAGTGACGACGGAGCTCCTGGACTTGCCTAAGGCTGAGCTCGGCCTCCTGCTGAGGAGGCTCCTTTCAGCTGCTCCCGTCCAGCATCTCTCTCTCTGAGGCCACGAGGGTTAGAGCGACCATGCACCAGTAAATGGAGAACTTTGACTTGGCTCTTTCTTCATCACAAGGAATCAGAGCAACGTCCTCATTAATGTAGACGATGCCCTGATCTCCCGCTCCACCCTACCCTCACTGATGAGGAGCAGGCGAGCTGAACGGCCCCCCGGTGTTCCTCTGACCTTCTTGTCCTGGTCTTGTTGGCACGAGGGCATGAGGCTTTTGTGATTTATGTATTAAAAAAACAAAAGCACGTCCAGCCTGCGTCGTTTTCACAGAAACACGGTGCTGAAAGACGAAGTTTTTGACTGGACCAGCACGGATCAGAGGCAGATCCTCTGGAACAACCCGAGCAGCTCCACGTGCTTCTTACAGCTGCTGTTTATTAGCAGCTGCTCTGAGCTTCACACGGACAAACGAAGCTTTCTCTTACCTAAGAGGCGACAAGTCTGCTTTACGTTTGAACAGGAACTGAACCCGTTAGGCGAGTCACAAGCGGTGCCGGAACGACCTGAGACGGAGATATTTATTGTAGCGAAACGAACGTTCAACTAGGCCTGTCACGATAATAAATTCTGCTGGGCGATTAATTGTCTCAGAAATTATTGCGATAAACGATAATATTGTTTGAAATTTGACAATAATTAGTAATTATTGTCAAATTTAAGAAAACAGTTTTGGTTAATTTAGAGTTTAGTACCTTTTTGACCACTGGATGGCAGTATAAGACAGTTTGAACCGAAGGATGGATAGTGAGGGAGTGAGCAGCTTGTCTCTTTAAGAAAAATGGGAGGGATGCCCCTTGACGTGACATGGGCTGTCTCTCTTTGGTTCTCAAAATGGTGGACGCTCGGTGTGGTTTGAGCTCTTTAGCATTTTTCACACAAATCTTTTAATAAAAATCAGTAAACAAGTTCTCAGCTTCTTTTTGCAGAGAAAAACAAGTTTTTAGACGAGGGACAGGTTTCAACCGTGAATTTTGGAGCTTCAACAAGACGGAGGTTTTTTCCTGAGGTCGGCCTGTTAGCTTAGCTCGTAGCTTAGCTTCTCAGCTTAGCTGCTTTTAACGATCCATAAATGTGATTTTGGATCATTAAAACAGATTTTAAAGAAAAAAGAGAAAGGGAGGGGTCAGTGAAGAGCACCAGAGTCTTTTTTCATCCAGTGTCTTCAGTAGAAAGAGAGAGACATGAAACGATAAAGCCGATAAATGAAAATGAGGTCGATAATTTTCATTTATCATGCGATTAATTGATTTATTGTTTATCGCGACAGGCCTATGTTCAAACGTTCAAACGTCAGCTTGTGATCAAAGTTTATTTGCTCGACAATTTAGCTCACTGAATGTTTTCTTTTGGTTTTTATAAAACTTGTTTGGCTCGAGTCTGTTTTTGGTTTGATTTGATTGTACCGGTTCTGATTGGAGTGAAATGTCAAACAACACACGATGTAGCAGATGTGTTCAGGCGCTGAAGGTTTCTGAGCAACTTGTTCCAGTTTTCACGGCTCGACCCCCAGAGTATGAGGTGCCATTAGTGCCAAAATATGTTTTTGTGTAAAATGTGTTTGTAGCATGTTGTGTTTATGTAAGGTGATATCACCATACATAAACACAACATGCTACATACACACGTTACATAGACACGTAAACATATTTTTGGCGCTAATGGCACCTCATACCAGAGCTCTGCGGCGCCGTCCTGACTTTGGACATTTAAAGTATTATGATCAACAAATGTAACGTTTTACTGAACAACTTCAGCGACGCTGGACAAACATTGGCAACACGGTTTTATACAACTTAAAACTTCTATTCTGTGAAATTATCAAAGTTATATTAAAAAAAGAGACAAAAGTGCTTTGAAGTCAGTCGAGCACGTCTGAGAAACCCTTCGGGAACTTTTCCAGTGCCTCAGCAACGCGTATTCAATTAAAGAATCGTCTTTTAATGTAACTTTTTTAAGTGTTTGAATTTTTTCATGTTTATGAAAATGACTTTTTTTTTTTTTTTTACTCGTTTCGTTTTCATGTTTGAATATGATTTTTCTTTTCTTACCTGCTTCTGAAAATGGTGCTGCAAAGAACAAAGAGAAACTTTTCTAAAGTCTGATGCGAAGCATGATGAGCAGAAACGTGCGTGTGCGTGTGTGCTGCTCACAGCCTGGTCCTGGAGATGGATCAGTGAGAACAGTTTGTTGTTTTAATGATCCAAACTTCCTGTTCTGTGTTGATGAAGCGTCCGACTGTTACTGACACGAGCACGAGCCACGACTGTAGCAGCACGTGCTTCTTTAATAAAAAGGAAATTATGTTTTTCACCCGCTGGTCGCTCATTTGTCTCAATAAAAGACAAAACGTTACTGTTTTACCAAAAGTGGTGGATGATTGTTGTTTTTACTTAGAAAGTAACTTCACAGGACCAGATGTTCATCCAGTGAGCTCGTTCACCTGTTCAGGAGATACCAAAGTTCATGCTTAATAATCCAGGTGTAAAATCCAACAATGTTCAGTCAGCTCATCTGGACGGTTTCTTTTTTTTTGTGCCGAGACGTTTCACCTTCCATCCAGAAGGCTTCATCAGTCTGTGGAAACACCAAACAAAAACGGCTTCTCCCACAACAGCTTACTCCAAAGTGGAAAAAACAAACAACCTGTTATGTTGGTGCTGGTTTTATACCTGGATTATTGCGCATGGACTTTGATGTTTTGAACTGGTTTGACATGACTTGATGAGGGAGAGGGCGGGCACCTCAAAATGTGGGTGGTAAAGGTGGAACACCCACACCTGCCTCCACCCTCACTTGCCCCACCCAGGGTCCTTGAGCAAGGCCCTCAACCCCCACCCTCTGCTCCCAAACAGGTCCTTCTTGAAATGAGTCGTGACTCTGAGACGACCTGGATAAATAAAATGATGTTTTTTCATGTTTAAGGTGATAAAACAAACAACAAGCACGTGTAAAAATACAACTTTTTATTATTTACAAACTGTAAACAATCCAAACAAAAAGCAAAAGCATAACTCCAGTCCCTAAAATCATCCAGTTATGTACAAGTTTCCTTAGATAATTTTACTAATGTTTTATGTAAGTGAACGTTGCTGCTCAGTGCCTGAGACAACTTTGTCGTTTGACGTTATATAAATAAACCGAACTTAACTGAAGTTTCCCTGAAAGACGACGGAAACTATTTTATTGCAGACTGGAATAAATAAATTAAAGGTTTTCTAAAAATAAAAAAAATAAAAAAAAATCACTAAACTGTACAAGTTTTATATTCTTTTATTTTTTTTAGATTAAAATATAATAAATTAGTACGTTCTTTACAGTATAGGATTTTTTGTAAGAATTACTTCCTTTTGGCACAATAATTAAAAAAATAAGAAGACACGAGCTTTACTGTTTAAGTACTGTTTTTTCAAATTATTTAAAAATAACCTCCCATATGATCCAACAAGATGATTCGTTTTAGATCAAAAACTCGTGTCTCCAGTTGAAGAAACTTGAAATAAGACACAAACGTTTTCAACCTACGTGTCAGCTGATGCTTGAATATTCTGGCAGCAGGAGGGCGCGGCAGGCGGCCACACATCAACACGTTTATGTAAAGTTTCAGGTAAAATCTCCTCCAGCTGCCTGTGAGTCAACATGACAGGTCAAGATCGTCGTGATTATTTCGGTTTTTAAGAACGTGAGCAAGATTTTATTTTTCTAGTGAACTAAAAAATAAACAGAGCTTTGCATAGATCAGTAGTTCCAGTAAAATCTGAAAAACACGAGAAAACAAGTTCTTTCAGACCAAAATGGTTTTTCTTCTGAAACAGAAGGACAGATTTAATTTCCGACCGTTTAATCTCAAGACTAATTTGATCAAGTTGAATCTTATTTTAACTGGAACTTATCTTTATTTTTTTCCCTTTGCAGCTCAGTTTTGTTTCCTGTCACCAGAAATGTTTTAAACACTGATTTTTTCTAAAGTTCAGGCTGGTAAGAAGAACTTATTCTGGTAATAGTGTAAACGTGTGCGTAAGAGCAAACTGAATTCACCTCTTCATGGCCGCCATCTGTTAGCATCAGAGCTAACGCTGCTATCATCAAATCTAAGGCAGTTAGCATCAGAGCTAACGCTGCTATCGTCAGAGCTAAG